CTTAATATCATCTACTAAACATGTAAACTCATTATCAAAACATGAACTTAAGCATGTAACTTTAAGATAAGTAAATTACCTCCTTCTTGCTAGAATCGTAACTTAATTCTTCACTTCTAAATTCTTCACTTCTCCAAAGTTTCTACTACTCATTCTCTCTTACACTCTTATATAACTTTTGGTACTTTACTTTGGTGTAAAAACTCTGATTTTTAGGCCTCTATTTATAGGCACAAGTTGGCAAAACATCATAATGGAGTGAAGAAATGAACAAAATAAACAATTTAAACTTATAAACTTAATTAATCATAAACTATTTTATGATTAACTTGTATTCTTATCCCAACATAATGAATCATCAAAAATAGCCTCTAGTTATAGCCATGAATGAGCTTTTTGGTAGATAAAACTTATTCCACCAAGTTTAATAAAATTCTCACCAATTGTTGAAAAAAAATGCTAACTTAAAGACTTAGCAAAACTTTGTTGTGATTTTCTCATCTCATTCTCACCAATTGATGACCGAAATTTCGTGCTTAATGTGATATAATTGATTCCATATATTATTGAAAAATGTCACCATTCATCACATAAAAATCTTTGGAACAAAATAATAAAAATAATAAAAATCATCTTTTTTTTTTATTACTTATGCATTTTCTTTCAAAATGGCTGATTTTTAAAACTCTGTTACTGAAAAGTAATGCTCATATATGGTCTTGGATCATGCTAGTAAACCGAGAATAATACAATTTACGGAACTCAATTCGGACTTAAAACGAACGTTTAACGTAAAATTGAAAATTCTAAAATTTAAATTCTTTACTCACATTTTTTTCTTCAATTTAATGAACATATTTCTTCTTAGGATCTAATATAATTATCTTGAAATATTCTACATTTACGGAACAACATTCGGACTTAAACCGAACGATTACCGTAAAACCCAAAATTCTAAAAATTTCGATTTCTATTAAAATAATTTAAATAGACTATAAAGTCTAAATAAATTTTCTCACTTTCTTTGAACATTTATCACTTAAATGTTCATGGATACTTAACCGCACTTCGAGACTTAACTTGTATCAACTTATGCTAAGGCTCGATATTATGATCTTATCTTTGATGACTTAAACACTTAGAAAAATTCTAAGTATTTAGTACTAAGGCTCGGCTATTTCTTAATTAAGTTCAACTCATGACCGAACATACTTGGGTTCAGCTCACTACTTATCTTAAACGATTAATCAAAATATACTCAATTTCGATTATTCGTCATCTTATATTAATTAATCCCGTCTTATAAATCCATTTATAAAAATAAACAGACCGGAATTAATTAATTACTGAACTGGCTTGAACCAAGAATACTTTCGACTTAAAGTCGAATTTTTAACTGAATAACTTAATAACTGGCTCGGAACTAGGAACGAGCATTAATAAAAGTAATTAGTTCATACTTAGAAAAATTACTTTTATTAATTACTGAATGGGATATTACACCTACCGACTTGAACATCTATCTGGCATCCCTCATCGATAACCATGCAACTCGGCATTCCTGAAGAAGTTCGACCAATAGGTCTAGGCTATTCCCACTCAGTAAATTACGTCATTGTGTAGATTATTTGTTGAGTTAGGTCAAGAATGTAATTTACTTTTTGCTTTTAAAGGCTAGACTATTTTAGGTTTAGATCGAGTCGAAGCGGCGTGATTAACATAATTATGTGCAAGTCGGGCTCAGCAAGGTAGCCCGGTCAGACCAAAAATACCACCGAGTCCGAACGCGAGATCGGTCAAGTAAGCTGCCACGTAATGATGTGCTAAGAAACTGCACAAGCTGGGCTTAGCAAGGTAGCCCGGTCTGGCTAAAATACCATCGAAACCGATGAATGGTACGATCAGGTAAGCTGCCAACGTAAGAAAGTAATTATCGCACACCGGACTCAAAGGCAGTCCGACCAGGCTAGAATACCGTCGAGCCCGTCACGTGGCTCTTCTAGGTAAAAGCGGTCAATTTAATTATGTAAATATGAAAAGCCAGGCTCAAACGCAGCCCGGGTAGGCAGAAATACCACGAGTCCGATGAGCGACTCGGTCAGGTAGAATGCGCCACCGTAATTAGTGCGATAAAATGCACGAGCCGAGCTCAACGAGTAGTCCGGTCAGGCCAAACCGTCAGCGAGCCCAACATGTGGCATGGTCAGGTGGAAAGGCTATCATAAATATTAGTGCAATAAATTGCACAAGCCGGGCTCGACAAAGGGGCCCGGTTAGGACGAAATGACGTAAAACTAAAGCCCTGAAGCTAAAAACCGAACTCCAAAAATAGTTCAGCCTAACAAAATATGCGACAAGATGATCTCATTCATCATACATTAATCGCATTTATTCATCATACATTCATGACATACATTCATCATACATTTATGCATTCGTCATATGATCACATTATGCATACCATCTCGTAAGAAATAAAGAGCCCAAAGTTCTCACAATGAGCTCAAAGCTCAATCGAACAAAGAGCTCAAAGCTCACTCAGACAAAGAGCTCTAAGTTCACTCATGTCGACAATTTGAAATGCATTCCTGCTGGTACCAAATTACACAACTAGACCGCTCAGGTCCCGTCCAAAAGAAATTCACAAAAATTGCCCGTTCCCTCAAACTAACTCAACTCGTCAAAGAGTAAAGCGTGATTAACATAAGTACGTCAGGCCAAAGCTTGAAATGATCAACAAAACGCTCAAGGGTTCCAAAGCGCCCTAAAATTCCATACTAACTCGTAATAAGTTTAAAGAGTCACGAGGCGAAAATATTTCCAAATTGTAAAGAATAACGCGACTTCATAACAGTTCAACTCATAACATGTCCTAAACTCGGGGGCCTCTTGTTGATACCCAATTTGGTTCTGATTAATTAAATAATAAATAAAATTATAAATGACGGCCTAATAACCAAAGGGCCGATAATACATGATAAATAAATATGCAAAACAGGTACGCAAGATCGATCGTCAAAAAGCCGACCGGGTCCCCATATTGCAAGTCTGCCCGTTGCCGAGCCGAATAGAATTTGAAGTAATCGGATGTCGCAGATATCATAAAGAAGCCGTCTCCGGTAGACGTCAGTCGAAAAAGTCTAAAGTCATAAGCGGGCCCCACGATGATTATTTCTCATTAAATAATGATGTACCTTTTTTATTATTACTAACCCGCTTGCGAAATAGGGTCATGTATATATATCAAAAAAGAGGAGAGAGAAAGGGCCTCTCCTCATTTTCATCCTCCCCCAACAACAAAGAAAAGAGAGATACTCTCTCTAAAGTAAAAAAAGGAAAACACCCATTTTTCATGATCTTGTTCTTCATTTACTTATAACAGATTCGACTCTTATGTAACAGTTGATCGTCCGATTTTCGACATCAACAAGACCTATGTCGATCCTATCGCCATACACATGACTCCCATTCCTTTCACGTGTTTGACGAAGACCTTCTCGGAAAACTCTTCGTGAAAGGATCTGCTAGGTTGTCCTCTGATGCAATCTTGGCAACATCATCGTCTCCTCTACCAACAATATCTCGTATCAGATGGTATTTGCGCTCTATGTGTTTGTTTGCTCTATGGGCTCGTGGTTCCCTTGCGTTCACTACTGCTCCACTATTGTCATAGTACACGGTGATACAACGTGGCAAACTCGGAATCACTTCTAAGTCCACTAAGAAGTTTCTGAGCTAAACTTTCTCTTTCGCTACCTTTGAGGCTGCTATGTACTCGACTTCCATGGTGGAGTCTGCCACGCATTTCCGCTTAGCACTCCTTCATGAAATGGTTTCACCTTCCAAGGTAAACACATAACCTGAGGTTGACTTACTCTCGTTCCTGTCTGACTGGAAATCGGAATCACTGTAACTCAGAGGTAAGAAGCTATATGTACGGTAAACTAACATGTACTCTTTAGTCCTCTTCAGGTACTTGAGTATGCCAGCAGCGTAGCTAATATCTGGCCTCGTACACAACATAGCATACATAAGACTTTCTACTGCCGAAGCATAAGGAACTGTCTTCATGTCTTCTATCTCTTGTGACGTCTTAGAAGATATCACCTTGGAAACCTATTCCATGTCTGAAAGGTAACATACCCTTCTTGGAATCTTGCATGCTGAATCTGGCCAACACAGTATCTATGTATGTAGACTGGGATAAGCACAACACTCTCTTCTTACGGTCTCGAATAACCCTAATACCAAGAATGTGTTCTGCTTCACCTTAATCTTTCATATCAAACTGCTTAGACAAACACACCTTTACGTCTGATAACTCTTTCTTATTGTTTCCAATGAGAAATATGTCATCTAAGTAAAGCACAAGAAACACCACCACACTCTCACTGATTTCTTGTACACACAGTGTTCATCCGGACATTGAGTGAACCTGTACGACTGGATCACCTCATCGAATCAGATATTCCAAGATCTCGAAGCTTGCTTCAGTCCATAAGTAGACCGATTAAGCTTACACACTAGATGCTCATGTCCCTTATCAATGAATCCCTCTGGTTGCTGCATGTAGATGTCCTCCTGAAGGTTCCCGTTAAGGAAAGCCGTCTTGACATCCATCTGCCAGACCTCATAATCTATATGAGCGGCTACAGCCAAGAGAATCCGAATGGATTTAAGCATAGCTACTGGCGAAAAGGTCTCATCATAATCAAGACCCTCTTTCTAGGTATAACCCTTCTCAAAAAGCCTACATTTGAAGGTGGTTTCCACCTTCCCATCTGATCCTCTCTTTCTCTTATTGACCCACTTTCATCCAATGGGTCGTACCCCATCGGGTGGTTCTACAAGATCCTAGACCTGATTGGAGTCCGTTGACCTCATTTTAACTTTCATTGCAACATTCTATGAATCTGTATCTTTATCTTGGAGTACCTCATTGTAGGTCCTTGGGTCCGATTCTAGGTCTCTTAGAACTGAGTCTGATGACTCTTCAAGACCTATCCATCGGTCGGGTAAATGAGAAACCCTCCCACTACGACGAGGTCCTGTCTGCACTGGTACACTCTCAGTGTGCCGTGTTGCAGTATTATGTGATGTATCTACTTACGCACTCGGTGGGGAACTATCGACTTCACTCCTCAACTCCTCTAAGACAAGTCTACTCGCGGGCTTATGATTCATAATATAGTCTTCTTCCAAGAATCTAGCGTTCGTACTAACGTTCACCTTTTGATCCTCAGGATTATAAAATAATCCACCTTTCATTACCTTGGGATAGCCAACGAAAACTCGTGCTTCCGAACGTTTCTCCAACTTTCTAGGTTCCTGCACTAACACGTGTGCAAGGCTACTCTATACTCAAAACTGTGAGAAACTGGACTTGCGCCCTTTCCACATCTCATAAGGAGTAGTCTCAACTGACTTCGATGGAACCATGTTCAGAATGTACGATATTGTTTCCAACGCCATACCCCAGAACGAATCTGGTAATCTTGAATAACTCATCATCGACCTAACCATCTCCATAAGAGTCCTATTTCTTCACTCTGCAACCCCGTTCTTCTAGGGCGTGCTGGGTGCAGTCAGTTTGGATTCAATCCTAGCTTCTGATAAGTATGTCCTGAACTCTCCAAAGAGGTATTCGTCACCTCGATCAAATCAAAGTGACTTGATACCTTTACCATGAAACTTCTCCACAACTGCCCGATACTCTTTGAATTTCTCAAAGCATTCAGACTTGCGGTGCAACATGTAAATGTACCCAAATCTCGACTAATCATCAATGAATGAGACAAAGTACTCGTAACCACCTCTAGCATGGATCTACAGGACCACAAAAATCAGAATGAATCAATTTTACACTTTTTTGCTCTTATGCCCCTTTGCCATAAACGGCCTCTAGGCCATCTTACCTTCCAAGCACGATTCGTAAGTCGGACAGTAATCTTCTAATGGACCGAGATGTCCACTAGATACCAACTTTATCCTCATAAGGTTGATGTGCCCAAGTCTAAGCTGCCAAAGATATGCTTGATTCATACGAAGACTCCTTCCTTTTATTAGATTTAGTCATATAATGTTATTCAATTCAGTTTGTTGCACTGTGGGATAGTTTGGTTTAAGAACATACAAATTGCCAACTAACGAACCAGAAGGAATCAAACAATTTCCATAACGAATAATAACCAAGTCATCAAACATGGTAACACAAGACGCTCCGACCAGCTGGAAATCGGCTCACCTTCTTCCTCCTCGCCAGTACACCGCGTACCTGCAAAGAACTCTCACACCGGAGGGGTTTTCCGGTGAAGAGCCTCTGATGCTTAAGTCAGTGTTTTGTTCTACTCAATTCTCAAGAGTAAAAATGGATAAATCGTGTGTAACCAGAAAGGCTCACCCCTATATATAGGGGTGAGATACTTTCCCTAGGAGCTGCCCGGATTTGCTGAGCTGTCTGCCCAAAGCTGCCCGGATCTGTCCGTCCGTACACACACAGTGTGCGTGTGTCAGAGGTGGTTATCGCCACTACGACTTTGCTCTATATTCTCGCCACGTGTCCTCTGCATATGGGGTAATTATTCCCTTGATTATTCCTCAGAAATTCCCTAGGAGACCCATGCGCTTCCTCACGTCTGGATCACGCTCTCAAATGCTCTTCACTCGCGAGATGGTCGACTAGATCTGCCACAATATTCGACCAGTACCTCCCAGCCTGTTATTGTTCGACCAACATGGCATTTTCGACATTAGACTCGTACGACCGACGTAGTGAACCAGTTTATTCCTCCAGGTATATAATATTACATATCATCTAGTCCCCCTCACTTTGGTCGAGTCTAAATGACTTGATCTAAGAGTGAATTTGCGTTTGCCTCCTCGGTTTATCGACACCTCGACCATTTGGCTATTTTGTCCCTCTTCTTCGACCACTTGGCTAGTTTATTGGTAAATTTCCCCCCCCCCCCCTTTTTTCCCTTCATTATTAATGCAACTTCATTCTGCCACACGTCCCATTTGTCAGGTACAACAATCATCACGTCTCCACGCGATCCGCAGCACTTCGCTATCCGCTATTCGCTCTCCTTGAATTCACCCAGCCATTAGGTTTCACTTTAATCCAATGGCTATTCCCATTAACTTTTCATTTCATCATCTCTTTTCACATATAAATATCCACACTTCGGATTTTTCGGCTTTTTCACCTCTGCAGATCTCGAACTTACTTGTGCCCTAATTTCTCCCTCTACAAATTAAGCTTTCCTGCTCTCGGCGTTTTCAGTTTCATCGTCTCTACGTTTTCCAGCGACCTTTCTTCCATTGCGATAATAAGTAAGTTCTCTACACTTTATCTTTGCGTGTTTTTTCTTTGTTAGTTTTCAGTTTTTCCGATTTGTCGATTTTCCTTTTTTGAAATTTTATTCACATCCTAGCCACATAATTCTCCTCCTTTTCCTTCTCCGCTAATCTTCGAAAACACTAAAGATCTTCCCTTTAACATCTGTTTCCCTTATTTTTCAGATTCCGCTACCTCCAGTGAGAACGGCCAGTGTAATGCCCCGAACTCGTGTCATTCATTTTATGCATATTTAGTATTTTTTTCATGATTAATTAATTAATGTTAATGTTATTTTATTTTATTATTGAGCTCGATTTTTTATGATTGATTAAGTGAGTGTCCACACTCATTAATCATAAATATTGATAATTAGAAAAATTATTTAGATGTCCTCATCTATTTAATTTTCCTAAGTATTAAATAGTCATAATATTAATATAATTTTTATTATATTAATGGGATGGATTAATTGATTAATTAAAACCTTAGCAGTAATTAGCAGGAGTATTAATCTAAGATCTTGAGCATCAAAAATCGGCCCTAAGGAGAGAAATCACGTGAGATTGAGAAAAGATAAGAGAGAAAAGTCTTGTCTTGATCACCAAGCCAAAAAGAATCCCACACACATAGAAATAGGAATCATTTTTCTATTCCAAGTCTTATAAACCTAGCCTTATAAATATATCTCTTCCCTCATGAGATTTATTTTTTCCAACGCTAATTATTTCACAAGATCAAAAATATCATCTTAAGCACGCAAGAAGAAAAAAAAAAAGAGAAGAGAAAACTCCATCCCTTCACACGTTCAAGCCTACCGCCAAGAGCCCGAGCTTTTTTACGATTCATTCTTTTCTTCTTTTTCCCGAGCACGGTAAACCCTCTTTTCGATCCTTGGGCTGAATTTAATGTTAAGAATATTAATAAAGCATGATAAGATATGTAAATTAACAAGAAAATTATATAAGATTCAATGATTTTCTTTTATATTTAATGAAAGACCAAGTTGGATCTTGGAATATTTGATATTTTTAAAAGATGTTTAATGTCTAAGAAATTGACAATAAAGCTTGCTTAATAAAGATTATGTGCCATGTGGAGTTGAATGATTATTGATGATGATTTATAGAAGTTATGCATGAAATTTCTGTTTTCATAGCCTCTGTTATGAGCGATTTTTGGCGACCAAGAACTCATTTCATGGGAATGTGTTCTGCATGAAATATGTGGAATATTTTGTTAGGTTTCAGTAGGCTTTATAATCTTGGAAATCAGAGTTCATATGGATTTTATATGATATTTACAAGTCAGTTGTGTATCCAGTTTTTATAAGTCAGGACTGAGAATATACCTTTAATGTATGACGCACTTTGATGTGTCAAACGTGCCCAAATGTGAGAATAGTCTTCATGAGATATGTAGCCATATGTGGTTAGTTTCTGTAGGTTCTAGAATCTCATGAAACGGAGGTCTGTAGCATGAGATATTTAGGTTTTACCAAGGCTCTGTATGATATATGATGTCATTCTCGGACTGTAATTGTGTTCCAAATGTACTATGAATAATCTATGATCAAAAATCCTTATTTGCCTTTGATGTCAACATGAAAGTTATGACCATACTTGTTTAGTGTCTGTAAGTTTTGGAATTTCATGATTATATGGCCTGTAGCTCGAGATACATGATAATTACTGAGGTGCTGTATGTAAAATAAGTTGGTTTCTGGCAGTTTTTATGAACTAAATGTTTTAAGATTAAACTAGATGATAATATCATTATTTGCCAATGTGGTCTTCATAAAAGTTGTAGATAAAGGAGTTGGCTACCTTGTGGTGTTTGAATCTCGTTAAATCATGTCTGTAGCTTCAGTTATCTTGAAATTACTGAAGTCCTATCAGCTGTTTTATTTCAATCGTTGACTGCAGCTATGAATTAGATGTTTGCTATATTATGTGCAATTAAATGACCCTATCTGTTTGAGTTGTCATCATGAAAGTTGTAGAGGCATGAGTGACGGATAATGTTCAATTGGAATAATCATGATATGACCTATGGACGGAAATTACATGCATTCTAAGTTCATCGCGCACGCTGAAAATTGTATAAGTTCATGTTTGAAATTGCAAATTGATTATTATTGTTTAAAAACATGTTTATGTGGCGTAACTGATCCATGTCATGCCATTTGAAGTTTATATGACTCTTAAATGCCCTATGTGATAAAAGTTAAGCAAGTTAACTTATCAACCAATCGAAAAGACTTAAACATAAACGTTTTCAAAGTATGCGAGCAAACGCAAAACCGTGCGGGTGAGCAAACCCAAAGCGGACAATATTCTACAGCGGGTGGACTGGGCTATTACAGTTTGGTATCAGAGTCAATGTAGACTGGTATACTTGAATTATGTGACCTCTGTGAAAATATGTGAATTCTATGATGTAAATTATGACCACTCGCTTCCACCGTGCCTCGCCAACTCAGGTATGAGTTTCATAATTAATTTGAAATTGATTATGAATTGTATGACTTATGAGATAATATGCTATGATGTGACTTGGGGGCTTAAGATTCTATCCATGAGAAAAGTCGAACCCTAGAGATGATCAAACGTAGTGAGCCCTAGAAGCAGATGACTGGATTTAAATGTTGAGAATCATGTTATATTTATCTT